TGAACCTTTCTTGATATTAATAAACAAAATTCAAATCTTAGTACGGTACGTACGAAGCGGCGGGTTATATAGTTATTTTCCTGAGTACGATAAATTAATGACTTATAGCACAATATGATGTAGCATAGTGACGGAATACTCTAAAATCTATTTGAGTTACTTTCATAAAAAAATAATTTCCATAGCCTTCTAAACATTATTAAGATTTGAGTAGATCAGAACTCAAACATAAACAACAAATTATTATTAAGCTATTTCAATCATTTCAAAAAACCAGTTATTTACTCAGAAGTAAAGTTTGTTAAAAATCTGTACTTATGCAAAACTAATATCAGTTAATACGCTCTAGCACAGGTAAAATAAAAATGAAAGCATAAACTAACTAAGCTAAGATAACTATGTAATAAAATCCATCTCGGGAAGTGACGTCAAAGGGGTTTTTTTAAGGATTTTAAAGTAATAAAAATCAGTTTTCCCAAGTTATTCAAAATTATTAAACGTATTTAAAAGTATTTAAAGAAGACATAATAGCTGTAACATTATTTATATGAACTATAACTTTATCATTTCTTAACTAATTAAAAATAAAAAACAAACATTACTGTGAAGTAAAAATGTTAAACTTGATTTTCATTTAGTTTATTATGATTCTAAAAATCTATAATAGACAACGTAATAGACTGTATGTTAAAAAATATTTAAGATATTTTTTTTATTTAACTAGTCTCGCCTAAGTTGAGAAAAAAAAATGTTTTTATGTAAATACTATTACATAATTTTTTTTTCTCAACTTTTTAATTATTATGAATTTGGAACACGTTTATTATTTTAAAAAATATCTTTCTATTTCGCGCCATTTCACATATTTTTTCGTGTTCATTATCAAATTACAATATGGAATGGAGTTTTAAAGAAAATAGGATTGCAGTGATCGTCTTGCACAAAGTGGATATGGAGTCGTCGGTCATGTTCCAGACACTCAATAGCTTGATGTCATCCGTATGTTCGTATATCATACTATCAACAGATACATTTCCTCTGTTGAAGACCAGGAAAGATCGGGGCGGCCGCGTGCTGTTAGAACTACAAAGACTGTTATTGCAGTTAAAGCCAGAATTCGTGGAATCCCCATTAGGAAGCAAAAAATCTTATCGCGAGAAATTAAGATTCCCGCTAGGACTCTGCCGCGTATTATAAAACAAAACCTGCAGCTCGGTGCTTATCGTCGATATCAGGACATTCCCTAAATCAATCTTTACAATTAAAGAGAGCGGATCGATCAAAACGCCTTCTGTCGCGATACGCAGGTGAAAGGAACAAAAATATCCTCTTTATCGATGAAAAAATTGTCACGATTAAAAATCACTACAATAAGCAACATGGTAAAATGTACGCTCATAGTTCTAAAGAAGCTGCTCATGGGATCGGAAAGGTACAATGTGGTCGTTATCCTGCGACAATGATGGTTTGGTGGACCGTGTCTTATCAAGGAGTCACAAAACTACATTTTTGTGAAAAAGGAGTGAAAACTTCAGCCAAAGTGTATCGTGTATGTATACAGTATTGGATCGTGTTGTGAAATCTCTCAGCAATACACTTTTTAAAAATATACCGTGGATTTTCCAGCAGGACTCTGTATCTGATCACAAGGTACGAACTAACCAAGCCTGGTTTGAAATCAACGTTCCAGACTTTGTAAGAGCTAAAGACTGGCCCTCGTCTAGCCCAGACCTCAACCCTTTACACTTCAAGTTATGGTCAGTTTTAGAGGATGGCCTTCTCTAAACGAAACAGCGACATTGAGACTCTTAAAAAATCTTTGGAGCAAGCAGTGGCGAAATTTTCCTTGGAAACAGTGCGTAAATTAATAGATTCGTAGCCAGACAGATTAAAGGCCTATATAAAAGCCAAAGGTAGTCATTTCGAATAGAATATTATTTTTTATTTTTTGCTGAGACTTTAATAAATATGTAGATATAAATTTTAACTTTATTTTTCTCTTTATAAAAAAAAGCATTTTTATTTGTAACAGAACTTATGGCTGGACTAGGTATATATATTTTTTCATTTTACTTAAAACAGCTTTATTTTTTAATCCACTAAAGCTAAAGTCTAGTAACCACGAAAAGCAACATATGACTGTCAAAGTAAATTCAAAGATGTCCATGATGCTGTTGACGATTGACGATTGTTGACGATTCATTAGGTTATTGATAATGTAAAATTATAAAAAAATAACTATTATCAATTATGGTGTCACATAATCCTTTCTAATTGTCTATATTCGAGTTATATTCATTTTTTTTTGTACACATATCTTGTTAATCCTGACATTAATCAGGGCCGAAAAGATAAGGATACATTTATTTATAAATATTTTGCAACTAGTCTCTAATGTAACTGAAGTGTACGCAGTGCATCTGCATCAAATTAGTACATAAATATTTTAAATCATGATCATAATATTTATACCCATTTTATAATCATTTGTAAAATATTTAAAGTTTTGAAATGGAATTAAGCGAGAAGATCAGTGTAATAATAGAAAAGAAAAAAGAAATATCCTTTTTTTATTTTGTTGAGAGAACCGAAGTTAGCGAGACAGAGATGTGTTATTATTATGGTAGTCATGATAGATATATATATATATATATAAAGATACTTTTTATTGTTTCCTCCAAAAGATTACAATAGTAAACTTATTATAAATATAAACAATTACAAGAAATAATCACAATGAGAAAACAATGGACGACCTTATCGCTAAAAGCGATCTCTTCCAGGCAACCTTTGGATGGAGAGGAGTAATGATCGGAGGCACGATGAAATTCTATTATTTCTAAAATATAGAGATATGATACATGTAATAATGTAAATATATATCCCTACGTATTATATATACTTATATACTATTATATATACACATACATACACACATGCATACTCAAATATATAAAAATATATAAATACTGCTCACATGTATACGTAAGACACAAAATAATAAAATTTTTAGATATCTTAAGAAATAAGTATGCTAACCAAACAAATTAAGAAGATGACAACTTGTTCAAATAAAAATTATAAAAATTATAAAATATTAAGTATATATATATATATATATATATATATATATATATATATTCTTTTTATTTAAGAAAGTTAATTAAGCATTCAATAAATAAAAAAATATATAATTATAATTACTGTCAAAATTAACAAATAACTATATGATGATAATAACTAATTGAAAATTCTTAAGCTTTAAACATAAATATTTTGTCCATACTCGTTTCAAAGATCTTTTCAATTTCTACAAGCAGAACCCTACGCCCCAAGTTCAACATTTATACATCAAGAGGCGAGGAACAGTATCGTAATCGTAATGCAACGAGATCTTTTTACGACCAGACGACCACTTTCCGACATTTTTATTTCTACTTCGTACCACTCAAAAAAAACTACGCTGATTCCTGACTCAAAATTACCTTTTAGATTTAAAAGTTTAACTTGATTTATTTTTGAGAGATTTAAATATTTTGTTTAAGTGTATCTAATTCTCATATTATGGTCAATTCTCATTATAAAACATAAACGTAAGTAACTATAATAACTAAGTGTTCATTACACTGAAAATTAATAAAAAAAAGTCCACGTTCAGTTGCTTAAACAGGAATAAATTTTTATTTCATTTTACCGTTGTATAATTTTGTTCTAATTATAAATCTATTTCAATTATTGATTTCAAATTATTCATTTATTTTATGAGTTATTTTGATATATATTTATTCACAGTTATTCAAAAATTAAAATGTAAACAAATTACTATTCTATCTATATTAATAAAGTGAAAATATTTGATTGTTTGTTTGTGATGGTTATCCACTACAAATAAACAATACTCAATACTACTTAGTTGATTTTAAAAGTTCTTTCATCTCTAGAAAGCTATACTATCAGCGAGTAACATAGGATATATATTAGCTTCGAAAAATCTATCTACTCGTGCAAAGCAGAGTCGGATGGCTAATTATTTATAAAACGACATTTCTATTAATTGTACTAAGTAAACGACTGAATAATTTATTTTATAATGATATCATGAAAATACACCTGAATTTCTTAACAACATTATTTTATAAAAGTGTTTTTTTTTTTTTTAATTTGTTGTAAGAAACTGTGCTGTTAGCGAAAGCATTCTTATGCTATATTTGGTACAGAATTCTGATCATGTCTATATACGCTAGCCATTTTTAGATTTATCATGCACAGCTAATTAACTCTGTGAAGTGCATTACAAACAAAACTCATGTTTTACGTATACATAATCTTCGGAAGGTCTGAGAACGAGTGTTGAGATATCGTTTGCGAGAAGCGACTTATCGTAATTTAGAGCCCCCGATTAGACTGCGCCAGCCGACATACGCTAACGAGCATTCGTTTAAATTTATTTTTATTTTAACAACAGTACAGTGCCGATGTTTTGTCTTCTACCGACGATTGTGCGAAGTTAATTGGATTGTCCGCTTTGAATTGTTTGGTGTGGGTAGTACATTGGTACATTCGTTTGATTTGATCACTCAATCGGTTTTTCTAATCAAAAACCATAAGAATTCATTTTTGTAGGTTGTATTTGTTAAGAAATATTCTATCCTAGGGTCTATTACATACATAGTATGATGTCCCAATAATAACTTTTAAATATTCAGCGCCTAACTGAAATATGTTGGTTATCAAAATCATTGCACTATATAATCATTACAGTATATAATGTAACTAACAAACCTAGTTATATTGTCTCTCAATCATCACGGGTCTCCTATCTACTAAGTTATTTTTTTTTCTAATCGAGTTGAAACTATCCTATTTCTCACAATAAACAATATACATTAAAAAAAAACTTGATTGAAATCGGTTAGCGACTTTAGAAAAAGCTGCACCGAACTTGTGTCACGAGATTTTTATATATTAATATAATTTAAGTATAATCTTAAAAATCTTACCTTGGTTGTAGTAGTTTTGAGAGGATTTCCTGAAGATACAGCGCAAATTTCGATTTCATATCTCTCAACACCAGCTTCGCGATCCAATGATACGGCAGTTGACAATATACCCAAAGAAGAATCTATGTCAAATAGTCTGTCCATTTGTCTGCCATCACCAGTCACATTTACAATATAATATTCTAAACCAGATTTATAGTTATTCGTAAGATTTAATACGGGTGTGCCTGCCGGTTCATTCTCGGCCACAGAAACGGAGCCTACATTCGTCCAAATAACACCGTCTAACTCAGTTCCACCCATAATAACACTGAGATAAGTTTCTGTACTTCTTTGTTCACTTAAGACAGCTTCATCTGTAGCTTTTATGACAAGGTTCCACCTAGCCTCGGGCATCGATGGTGGATACCGTAAAGTTAGTGCACCGTTACTTCTATGCAAATCAAATAAATCGTTTCCACCATGAATCAGCTTATAAGTGACCAGCCCATTTGTTCCCGAGTCTAGATCTCGTGCTAACACATTCATTATAAAAATTCCTCGGCCAGCATTCCTTCCTATTTTTTCAAAATTAATCACAGCAGCATTCATAGAAACAAATACTGGAGCATTATCATTTATGTCTTCAACAATAACAGTAACTAATTTTTCAGCTGATAATCTAGCAGAAATTGGTTCTGCTCCATCATAAGCTACCACAGTTATTCTAAATGTGTCTATATTCTCTCTATCAATAGGCAATAAAGTGTGTATGACTCCTGTAATGTTGTTTATAGCAAAATGACGCCTATTATTATTTGGATCTTGATGCGTAATGGAATAATAAACTTTACCATTTAAACCTGAATCAGGATCTTCTGCAGTTACTGTTACTATAGGAGTATGCTTTGGTATTCCTTCTCGAATTTGACGTACTATAGCGGTATTGGTGAAAACAGGTGCATTATCATTTGCATCGATTACATTTACAATAAAAGGTATACTGGATGATAAACTGGGATTGCCATTATCTGTTGCTGTAATATTTAATGTGTATGATGTAAGATCTTCATAATCTAACTGTTTATGTAAAAATAGTTCCCCAGAATAACTATCAATAAAAAATGCTTCTCTTCTGTTACCGGATGTAATAGAAAACTGTAGCTCTTTATTTATTCCCAAGTCAGAATCTGTTGCATGAAATTGTATTATTTTTTTATTAACTGGTTCTGTTTCTAACACCGATACTTTCATTTGAGTTTGAGTAAAAATAGGAGCATTATCATTTTCGTCAAGAACTTCCACTAAGATTGTGGTTGTACTAGAAAGACGAATAGATTGTCCAGAGTCATGGGCAAGTATTGTTAGTTGATACTTATTTACTGTTTCTCGATCTAAAGGTTTATTTATAAGCAATTGTCCAGTAGCTTCATCCAAAGAGAACTTTTTCATATCATCACCCCCAATAAGTTTGTAATATATATCACCATTAAGGCCCTCATCCGCATCAGTAGAATATACCCTCATTATAGAAGCTCCTACAGCGGCTCCTTCTGAAACTTCTACTTTGTATGGAGTCCGCATAAATATTGGTGCATTATCATTCACATCACTTATATAAATTGTGACTCTTACTGAATCAGATAATTTCACTTTACCATTGTCACTCACAGTAACGGTTAAGGTGATATAGTTTTGACCAGTGGTGTGAGCTAAACTTTCTCTATCAAAAGATTTCAGAGTTTTTATAAAACCATTTCTAGAGTCAATTCTAAAATCACTTTGAGCAATCGGTAGACTGAATGTTAATTCCGCATTACGCCCTATATCTTTATCAGTAGCCGTTAATTTTCCAACAAAGGTGTCTGGTGGTTCATTTTCTTTTATTTTAAATATGAATGTAGTATTTGTAAACTGTGGACTATTATCATTTTCGTCTAAAACATGTATGACAACAGGTACCTGGGAAGATCTCGGCGGCATTCCATAATCAGTTGCAACTATTGTTAGTGAATAATAATCTCTTTCTTCTCTATCTAATGGGCTTTTGACATATAAAAATCCATCTGGAAATACACCAAACTTTCCATCAGTATTTCCTTCTGTAATGGAATAAGATATTTTTCCATTTAAGCCTAAATCGGCGTCAGATGCAGAAATAGCAAAAAATCTTGTATTAACGAGAGTCGACTCCAATAAAGATGTTTCATAAGAAGTATGATCAAAAACAGGAGTGTGATCATTCACATCGTCTATAATAGCAACAACAGAATGATTAGTAGAAAGAGATGGATTCCCATTATCTGTGGCTGTAATTCCAATGGTCATGACGTTTCCAGGTTCTCCTGAAATAGGTTTATTTAAATAAATCACTCCAGTTGTTTCTGAAATTCTGAATCCATTGTCAGGATTACAACTCAATGTATAAAATACAGTTCTATTTGAACCAGAATCACGATCAGTAGCTCTAGCAAAATATACTTCTTGTCCAACTGCCATATTTTCAGGAATATGTATTTCATCTTTAGCCTCAATAAATATAGGATAATTATCATTTACATCCAAAATAGATATGTTTACTTCTGTAAATCCATATGATATGCCACTTTTTGCCATAATTTTTAAATGATAAGTAATTTTTTCCTCTCTGTCAATATTAGCATCAGTCGTAATGATACCATTCTTCTCATCAATTTTAAATACATGTTTAATATCACCTTCCAAAATATAATATGATATTGTATCGCTTGATATTTTTGCACTAATTTTACCAACATATCGACCAATGTTGGGTTTTAAAGTTCCTTCATCTTCCTGAATTTTAAAGCGATATCCATTGTATCCATCAAACTCAAGATTTTTGCGATGCGACATTTTTACTATTTCTACAACAGCATCTTTAAACGCTCTTCTATTACCTTTGTCTTTACATGATACTTTTAATGTATACACAGCTTGAGATGCTTTATTAAACTTTTTTTGTAAAATTATGTTGCCAGTCCATGGTTCAATTTCAAAATAACCATCACCACCACTTTCAAGCTTATAAATAATTTTTGCATTTGCACCTTCGTCTAAATCAAATGCTTTTACTTGTAAAATAGTGCTACCAGGAGGCAGCTCATCACTTATACTTTCTATGTATCTTTGAGGATAAAATATTGGATCATTATCATTAACATCTAAAACTTTGAGGAATATTGTAGCTGTGGAAGATTGGGGTGGAAATCCTTGATCTTTTGCAAGAACTTGTATTTCATACATCGGTATTCTTTCTCTGTCTAATTCCATAATTGTACTCAATTGTCCTGTTATTGGATCCAAAATAAACGTATTAGGATATTTTCTTTCGACACTTGATGATAAGTAGTAAGATACTGAACCGTTTGTACCTTGATCATAGTCAGAAGCAGTTAAAATAAGTATTTCTTTTACTGGCTTCATATTTTCGAGCAAAGTAGCATTAATTTGGGATTGAGGGAAAGAAGGCGCTTCGTCATTTTCATCTAATATCGTAATTTTCAATCTTGTATATGCCCATTTTGGATTAGGTCCACCATCCCTTGCTGAAACATTCAGTTCAACTGTTCCTTGAATTTCTCTATCTAATATTGATTTTGTTGTAACTAAACCAGTAAAATGATCTATATAAAACCACTGTTGCTGATTTCCATCATAAAAATCATAAAATATTTCAGCATTTACACCAGTATCTTCATCTGTAGCGGTAATACTAGCAATATAGGTTCCAGCTGGAGCAAGTTCACTTAAAACAGCCGAATACTCAGATTTTTCAAATACTGGTTCGTGATCATTCACGTCGTTGACATGAATCACCAAATAAGAAGTAGTTGTTCGTGACGGAGTTCCTCTATCTGTTGCAACAACTGTTAAATTGTATTTACTTATTTCTTCTCTGTCCAAAACTCCATTTACGTGCACAATGTAGACACTTGAAGAATTCTCTAAGCGAAAATGATTTAGTTCGTTTCCAGATACAATACTAATGCTAGTAATACCATTTAGTCCAGCATCTAAATCTGTTACTGTAATAGCAGCTACCAGAGAACCATTTTTTGCATTTTCATCTACTGTAGCAAAGTTAGCAGTAGGAGGAACATACGTAAAAGTAATAACGGGATCATGATCATTAGCATCAATAAGATTGACAGTTACATAAGTTCTAGCATCTTGGCGTGGTACACCATGATCTTTTGCGATTACTGTTAATACGCAAGTCATATTACAAGTAGTATTTGTGCAATATTTAGGACAATTTAATGTTTTTGTTGTTGTTATAACTCCAGATTCTGGATCTACTGCAAATTGTTTCTCCATATCGGTCACTTCATATGTTATTTTACTATTATCACCTAAATCACTGTCTGTTGCAGTAACTTTCAAAACAGTAGTTCCTGGAGGGACACTTTCATTCAAAGATACTGAAAAATCACTTTGATCAAATATAGGAGGATTATCATTAACATCTAGAATGCTCACATTTACTTGTAAATATCCATATTTAGGTGGATTACCGCCATCGCGAGCAGATATATTTAGGATATAAAAATCATTCGTTTCCCTATCCAACTTTCCCGTTGTTTCTAGATGCAAATACGATGTTTGGCCACTTGGATTCACAGTAACATTTAAACGAAATTTACCTTCATTGTCACCATCCACAATCTTGTAGTCATTAGCAATGCCATTTTCTCCCAAATCTTTGTCAGTAGCAGCATCAAGTAATAATTTAGTTCCAGCGGCTGCACTCTCAGAGAAAGCGACGGCTATACTTGGCTCCGGGAATTCAGGATAGTTATCATTTACATCGGTCACTCGCAATCTTACTTCTATCGGGTACGTAGGCTGGCTTGATAAGACAACAAAAGCATATTTGTCAACATTTTCTCTATCTAAAATTACGTTGGTCTTAATTTCACCAGACACTGGATCAAGAACGAACTCTTTTGGAGGTTCATTGAAGCGATAAGTGAATCCTGGCTTTGTTGGAATACGGCCAACTATGGTACCGACCGGCTGGTCCTCAGGTACACGTAGGTCAACGCCGGTATCTACAGCTCGAGATTGCATCTGTTCGGCTGCGGCGCATAGGGTCACGCTGGTAAGCAATACCAGCGCAACCAGCGCCACGTGCCATCGCCCCATCCTCGTCATGACGTCGATAAAAACATCGCAGGGTTGGTTTCTCGTCAGCGAAAGTTACTGTGCGCCGGGAGCACTCGCTGTGTCCCGTTCGCGCAGACTTGCGCACTCGCTCGCCTCAGGTATGCAGCATGGCGGCTACGACCTGAGCGCACACGAATATCTCACGGAGAGTGCGACCCGTCGCTGCGCCTACGCCGTCACATTCATTCGTAAATACACGTGACACACACTATTTACTAGAATCTATAAATCCTCGTCTGTAATACGATCAATCACACAACTTTCAATTAGTAACAATCACCTGAAAGTATAGCACTGTAAAACACTTTTCAGTAATGTTTTTGTCCGTATGACAGCTAGATTTCGTAGCAGATGCGGCATGCGGGTTGCGTCGCAATCGGCGCGGCACTGGCTAGCAGGCGGTGGCTTTCACGCCGCCCCGCGCCCTTCCCCGCGTAATACCGCTTCGACCCCTCCCCGCAACTTTGAAAGCTCCCACTGTAGCTGCGTGATGATGATGCCAAGATAATGGCCGCCGAAGGATTCTACTATTTATTGTTCGATGCGAGGCACTCACCATTCCAAGAAAAGCTCCCGGGTGCACAGGTAGATTAAAAAAAACGTATAGTATAGACCTCTTATGATTAATTATCCATTATGTATATTAATATTAATATTTTTCTAGTTTACAGTTATGATTACCGGAATATAATACTATTCATACAAAATGTAATCGTAGAATACCTATACATATACAATTATAAAAAAAAAAACTATCTACAAATATTTGTGCATGCGTTGAAGTCTTTAATATGAAAAATAATATTGAGTCATGTAAAACAATTAAAATATGTGATGGATTACATTAGATGGTGGATACATTAAAATGGATGTAAAATTGTATTATAAATACACTCATGACTGCAATTATAAATAAAATAGAGGCAATTTTCTTGAGAATTGCCGTTTTAAATTTTTGCTAAGATTTCGCGTATTTAGAGTTCTACGTTTTAGTTCATCCACAATTTAACTACATTACTTATATTCTATTAATTATTTGTTATTACACAGAGAGAGAGAGAGGTAATATTTAACGCAGCAGGAATAGGGTTACCACAGTTTCTCGAATTAATTAGATTTATTCACGATATTTACAAACATGAAGAGATGTGACCCAAAAAACAAGAATTTTATTCATATTAGTTATACTTGATTAGTGAAAAGTTATTCAGTTATTATGGTATGATTATTAGATCACAATATTTAAAGGTTATGTCCCATAAAAAATGTACTTCAATTGTAACAAAACTAGTTATTTTTATCTAAAAACTAAACTACTGAACCGATTTTGATTAAATTTGTATGAGATCAATCCGTAAGCATATGCTTTCAAATAAAGAAATAATTTTCCAATTCGGTTTATAACTAACGGAGTTATAAGTTATACAAACATAACCTTTTGGAACACTTTAAGTGAAATATATTCGAAAAGAATTGTTTAAAATAACTTTAATAAATATTATAGTTATATTGTAATGTATTGATGTTAGAGTAGAACAACAAAAATTGTCTAATTTTACGATTTACTCCTCGTATAAAACAACTTAATGAACTATTAATGTCATAACTATACTATACTATACTATATATATATATATATATATATATATATATATATATATATATATATAATAGTCATAGCTATACTATACTAATATACTAGCAAGTCATAACTATACTATACTATACTATATATATATATATATATATACTTATTTATTATAAGTGTTCTACTTATTATCTGAAACAATTTAATCTTACTATTTTATAAAAGTTTGTGAGGGTGTGGATAAATGTTTGTTACTCTTTCATGCAAACTAACTGAACGGATTTGAATGAAATTTGATACACGAATAGGTTATATCCTAATTTAACATGTAGGATACTTTATATGAGATGAAGGCCATCCCAGAATCTTCTGGTGTCCACCGCAGGATGCAAGCGAAGCTCCGCAAAGACATGTGTGAAAGCACATATGTGCTTTCATTAAGGGGCTTACCTCTCCTCCCCTCTGGAAAATAATTTCGAATTTATAGAAGAACTAGCATTTTCCCTCACTTCGTAAAATAGAATTTTCAAAATAGGTAATCACTTAAGGACGTATTAAGACAAAGCATACATTTTATTTTCAGTTAGACCTTTAAGATTACAAACATGAAACTAAATTCAATTTGATGCAGAAATTTTTGCGATATTAACACAAACATATACCTAAACAGATAGACAAAAATTATAAAAAAATATTGTATTAGTTATTAAGTCCTCATATCATTTTTTAAATATCTCCTATATTCAGACACCATGCAGTCGCAATTTAATTGTATTAGTATAAAATAATGTGTATAATTTATAACCATAATACCGTATCATCGGCATCATACTGTAGTCTGGTAGTGTCTACAATGTCTGTCAATTTTCAATATTTCTTATTAATTCTAATGACATAATGGTGATTATGTTAACATCATTGGATTTCGTATCAAAATTGTAAAAATTCGTCCATCGCAACGATATATTTCAGCGAGTACTAATAATTTAAATATAAGTATAATTTTAGATATGGCCCAGATACTTTATAATAAAGGAAAAAAATATTTTTATTTTCTTTAAGGAGATTCTAAATGGGTACACAAAATTTTAAAATAGACTAATTAAGCCATATGGAAAAACGTCATTTGCATATTCTAATCCCATTTATACTTATAACCTATAATTGAAATCGTGAAATAAAATTCATTCTCTTTCTAAACATTCAACAAAAGGGGGGCTTTTGATTATATCAAGGATGTTTCTAACATCGTTGTAGAGAAATTGTCAAAAAACCTACCAAACAGACTTTGTTATTTGCGGTTCAGTTTTTAATCACATTTATATATAATCAATAAGAATAATGATAAATTATTAAGTAATTTTTTCATATTTTATGAAAATTATTATATGAAAAAGTGACACAACAGACATCATTAGATACAAAATCATTATACTTTAAACCGTAGGTCGTAGGTTAAAATATTTTTTTTTTATTCTAAAGAAAACAAAGATTTTTTCTAGCGTCATGTTTTTAAATTATTAAGAGTTGAGACTTCCCCATAGAACTATTCTTACCATATCATTTGTGCCTATATTTGACGTAAAAGAGAGCATTGTGAAATCTAGTATCTAAAGAAGAACATATTTGATAAATCCATCTTGTAGGACTACGCCCTCTCGGTTATTTGCCGTTCAACTTGTAGAACTCTAGTATCCTGCTAAGAGATACGAAGGAAAGTCTGGCTGTCTTTAATTCTCACAGAATAGACGTGTTGATGTGAAAGGCAGTTCAGGTAATCTGCAACATTTTCCTCCAATATCACATCTTCAACGTGTCGATGCGGTCCCACTCTTCCTACTTTAGAGTACGAGTCTTAGCCCCAAAGCTAAACATAGATAGCACAATAGACATTTATTTATTTCTTTTATATATTTCAACATATTGTTAAGTACTTTAAAAGGTAAGAATAACGGCTATATAATATTTGATATTTGCGCGGTTATCTGCCCGTCACTGTTTCATTTTCAATATATCTGTGACGTATATACCTATACAATTTTATTATAATACTATTGGTTAATCTTATAATTTCAAATTTACTAAACACTGACATACTACGTTGTCGCAATTTATCATTTTTTAGTTTATATATATTACTGTATATTTACAAATATTTATTAATATTAATTATAATAATATTAAACAAGAGTATTTTTTGTAGTCATCTACTTGCTGTTATGCAAACTAGCTACAATCAGAAGTCAAATTAGAGCACAAACCAATTTTTACTCTATGATTATTTTAAATCTCAAAGTAACCGATAGATGGCGACTAATCTAAATAAAGATGAAGTCTACACAGATGGCTCTCGATGTGTTGAAATATTAAATAAACACTTTTTTTTATCCATTCTCAAGAAGTAAGGTAAATAATAAATTGTTACGAGATAAAATCGAATAATGTCGTTTCCTTAGTCAAAAAGAAGTAACATTTTTACAACAAAAACATACTAGATTTGGTATGTTTTTGTATATTTCATTAACTCTATATTTTAGTAACTTAACGCTGAGGAGAATACAGTCTACTTTTTACTGAGAAAGAATATATTTTCATACGAAAAATTAAGAAATTAAAAACTTATTAACGTGAATTTGTTTTATCTATATTATTATTTATCTTTATCATTAAATAATACTTTATTCTAATGGGCAATTATAAACCCTTTTAAATAATTAAAAATAGGTTCTATTATATTAATTTAAAATGAACGTATTTTCATAAAACACGTACAGTTCATTTATAAATAAGTAATAAAAAAGAAACAGAATTCATATCCACATCTTCCTGCACCTTGGCTTGACAAACGTATCAAGTGTTTAATGTCTAAACGAGATAAAGCCAAGAGACGCTATCGCATATCACCAACGGAGGATAACCTGACTACTTATAGGAGATTACGCAATCGCTGCACTAGAATGTGTAGGGATTCTAAACGTCGCTATATACATAATTCAGTAATTGACCACAACCCGGAAAATTTGTGGAAATTTCTTAAATCACTCGGCATTGGTAAGTCTACTGGAGAGATCTCTAACAATTTTAATCCCAATGACATCAACAAACATTTCTCTAAATCACCCATATACCTAGACAATAATGTCAAAAATACTACTATTGATCACCTTCTGAAAATGCCTAGACCCGAGTGTAATCCCTTTTCTTTCAGCATGGTTACAGAGTGTGATGTTAAGAAATGTCTCCTCAATATCTCTTCCAAAGCTTCGGGTGCAGACGGTGTGAGCATTCTAATGATACGACCCATTGTTGATGAACTATTGTCAATAATTACTCATATAATTAATTTTTCTTTAGACACATGCTCTTTTCCCGAGCTATGGAAGAAAGCACACATTATTCCTATCCCTAAAACATCCAATCCCACATCTATTTCTGACCTGAGACCTATCTCAATACTTCCCACCTTATCTAAAGTATTGGAGCACATTGTGCACAAGCAACTATCCGTTTATTTGTCTGGCCATAACTTGCTGAGTCCTTATCAATCTGGTTTCCGTCCTGGTCACAGCACAGTTAGTGCACTTGTCAAAGTAACTGATGATATACGCTGGGCTATGGACAACCACTCCCTGACACTCCTTGTTCTATTGGACTTCAGCAGTGCCTTTAATTCTGTTGACTATGACATTCTTTTAAGTATCCTTTCATCTCTTAACATATCTCCACCTGTAATCAATTGGTTAGATTCATATCTTCGGGGCCGATTGCAATGCGTACGCTATGATGAG